TGTGTGTGTGTGTGTGTGTGTGTGTGTGTGGCATGCACATGTCGGGGTGTGTCTGTTGTGTGTGTGTGTGTGTGTGCTTGCGTAGGCGTTGTGTGGAAACACCGCAGCAGCGTTTCCACTGATGTGGTCGTTGTACTCAAAGCGAGACTCCAAACCCACCTATCAGGCGAGAGCAGGGCGATGATGTCACACAGGTCACGGAGCGGTAAAAGTGGAAGCAGCAAAGCGAAGCGAGTCGTGTTTTCTCTCTCGCCGCGGCGTCACTGGAAAGTGTTAAAACGAGGTTCTGTCCCCATTACGGGGCACAGCTGAGCTCTGGCCTCCGATTGGCTCACGTCCACGTCATGTGACTCGCAGGTTCCTTCATCGTCACACCTGAAACCAGCGACGAAGGAGGACGCACAGACGCAGCGTCGTAATGAGGAGGAGGCGTCTCCAGTCGGTTTACTCTCTTTTCCAGTCGCTGCTTTCATGTTTGTTTACGAGGTGAAAAAAACACCATCGCCTTCACTTTTCACTTGGTTCTCCGACAGAACGACCCGGCCGGGCGTCAGAAAAGATCGCACTTTAGTTTAAACTTCACGTTGAGAAGCTTTTCAGTCGCTAGTGTTCAGTTTTAGGCCTTTCAGACTGTGTTTACGACTCACCTGCTGCCTTCTGCAGAGTCTAAAGGTTCAGAGACCGAAGCCGCTTCCAGGCAGCCTTTACTTTCATTTCAGTCCGTCCTGATTCAGCTGCTGTTTGCCGTTGTTTACCCGACAACACCACTTGGGTTTAAAGCCACTTTATCAGGTTTATGCTAAGCTACGCCCGTGAGACGCCGTTCAGTCGCTTCACTTTGGTTCTGAATTGCTGTTTTCAGTCACGACAACCCACCAGATTGAGTCTGGGCTCAGAACCTTTAAATGCTTTTCAGTCACTGTTCACTTTCTTTTAGACATTTTTAGTTTATAAAAGCTGCTCGTTTGAGTTGCCAAGATGCAGGTTAACACACCTGTTCAGTCACTTTTCAGCTGCTTTTAGCTTTTGTCTATGCTGCAGAACTACCTAGTTGGGTTTCAAGAACACACCTGTGCACAGACAGAACCTCTCTTACAGCTTTAAGAGTGCAGCGACTGCCTGATGGATCTCCAGCTCTTCTCATGTGCAGCTCTGAAGCTGCTCGTCTTCGGTATCGTCTGTGTTTTCACGTTTCCGGACATTTTCCAGACTCAGACCCGTGACACCTCCAAGGGTCTGAGCTGATTCAGAGCAGCTTCTACGCACCAAACGTCAGAGGAACATGACTGCCAGTGGACTCAGTCGTGAATCAGGACCCCGACGCTCTCGCCGGCTGACTCAGCGGACCTCTCTCAGAGTTTCTCTTGGCGCTGAATTCCTCGGCGCTTCTTGGAAGCGTCACCGTGTCAAACTCTCAGAGTGCCGGTGGGCGTCATACTTGGTGGTTTCTCCTGAATTTGCAGCTCGTTTTCACAACCGCCCAGCAGAACAGAAACAGAACGGATCCGTAGAACCTCAGTACACAACCTAAGACGATCCATGAGAACGCAGGAAAGCTCCGGAGAAAATGAGAACAAACTGAAAGTTCCTGTGTGTGCCAGCAAGCTGCTGATTTAACGTGTCAAACATGACTTTAGGTGGTCGACAGAATAATGTTGCACCGACTTAATAAAAACAAGCTGCAGGGACTTAATGAGGCCGGCTTCGTCAGACTTGAGCTCAGCCGCTCAAGTGTCCAACAGGAGCGTCTGTCACAACGTAGAGCAGTGATAACGGTGCTGCTCAAGTACGAAGCACAACATGGAAATCATTTCATTATATATTTAAGTCATAGAAACGCCTCCGACTGCTTTCACTCAGCCGGGTTGCTGGTTGAACGTCATCTCATCAGGGTTCACAAGTACTGATCAAACGGCAGCTTTTTGAAACCTGCTCGTGAAACCAAATGTTGTCTGACGTGAGGAGAAGCTCGATGCTTCCTGCTGGCCGTTGACCAGCCGGGAAAAGGCCGAGGATTTGTTCTTTAAAAAATAGTCCAAGATCTGCAGGACGAGGAGGCGACACGAGACGCACAACGACAACAAAGACACAAGGAGACACACAACGACAAAAACAAAACACAAGATGACAGAAAAGAGTCAGAAAATGATGGAACAGAGACGAACTGTCCCACAGAACANCAAACAGACACACAACAACTAGAAGAACATCTAAAACAACACAAAGGTGTCAGAGACGAGACAACAGTGTGTTTGTGCGTCACAACTTCACCAGAAATCAAGAGATTCTCCAGCTGATGCGTCAGAATCTAAATATTGACGCACAAATGTGTGAAAAACAGCAGCAGCACAGAAAGGCGTCAGAATCAGGCGATGGTCACGCCGGTGTGTGCAGAGGTCACCTTGGCGTTGTGTGTCTGTGTGCGACGGCGCTGACGGACAGCTTATGTAAAGACGTGTTTTTGTTTGTTCTGGGCGGTGGAACCTGACTCTGCAGCGCCGCCGCTAATTGCTGCTCTGCACAAACACGCTTTGTTCAAACTCAACATTTTGAGCCGGCTTTGGTTTTTCTGTTTAATTTATCGTTCTATTTACGTTCCAAACATGTCTGCCCCGCATCCACCGGAGGAAAGGCGCACAACAGCCTCGGCTACCGACACACAAACGCACTCTCCGTCCCGCTAGCGCCTGTTCAACAGCAGTCGCGGCTGAATTATTCACGCCGGCGTGTAATTGAAGAGTGTTTATGTAATGCGATGTATTTTTGATGACTTGATTTAACGCCACGGCTTCCATCTGCTGCGACGTCTTTATGTAACGTGTGAGAGAGTTTCCCTCCTTCGCTCTGTTTACCAGCTCGTTTACTGTAATTAAACAGGAAAACACAGAATCAGGAGATCAGCGCCGACGACCACGCTGCTGGAAACACAAATAAAGAATCCAGAATCAGTTGGCTGTGAGGCGTCTGGAGAAGAGTCTCGACCGGTTCTTCACCTCTGAGGGCAGCGGCTGACCTTCACCGAGGTTCTTGTTTCTCTGCAGCATGAAGTCCTGCAGCTCTGGAACCAGAACACGAAGCAGGAGAGAGAAGTCAGGAGGCGGAATACAATCAATTATTTGTTATAGAGGAAAACGCAGACACCACAAAGTGACAAAAAGACCAGAAGAAGATGTTAAGTAAACAGGAAGTACCAAAAAACCAGCACAGAGACGGAAACATCAGAGACAGACAGAAAACGAACACAAGGAGACAAAACAGCACAAAGAGACGGAAACGACCACAAACAGGTTCACAATGAGCAAAACAAGCTAAACACAAACGGACACACAACATGGTCCATCATGCAGATGTTCAACTACCTCCATGTCTCCAGATGTTCCACCATCAGCTGGAGATGGTGCGTTCAAGGCCCGTCGGGCGTTTAGGGTTTGTGGCTGATAAATGGAGTCACTTGGATGATGTGTTTGGGGGTTCAACGTTCTCCAGCTTCAGCTCCAGTTCCTCTGGTTCTCTACGGCGTCCATGTTTGTCCTGTACGAGGAACAGGTGAGGTTGTGTGTGTGTGTGTGTGTGTGTGGAGGCTTTTATCCACGTCTTTGATGACGATGTTCAGATCAAACAGTCACTCTGAGGATCAGACCTGTAACACACAGAACGACCCGGAACACACACCGTGGGTCCGCTGGAGAAGCAGAACGCGTGCGTTCGGCTCTGATCACACACACATGTGGGGAACACACACCGGGTCACGAGGTCGCACACACACAGACACACACCTGGACTGACATCAGTGTGCGACCACAACAAGGCGTCGGCTGCAGTCACTTTCTGTGATGACTCAGCAGAGATCAAACACCACTGCGTCACACACACACACACACACACACACACACACACACGGCTGAGGCAGGAAGTGAACCTCTGACGGTTTCTTCTGTTCTGGTTCAGGTTAACCGAAGCAGAACGATGAGACTAAAACTCTCCTGAACGGCAACGAAACCACAAACATGAGAACCGTGAAGTCTCAACCTGAACCCGACACGGCCCTGGCGGCGTTTCATCCTGGAGTAACGGCTCCCATCAGCCGGAATCCACGGACGCCAAACTGTCCCACGGTCCCTGAACACATCACGATCAGGAAAACGACTCGTCGGTTCGTCAGATTCACGTCGTTCCACTTTGTTCTCAGTTTGAGACTCAGACGAGACAAAAGACGCATAAAACCAGAAAAACGCGGCGACCACGAGGCGACGCGCTGAACCAGCGACCCGGTTCTGGTGTTTCCTGGTCGTTTCCATTTTCTTGTGCTGACTCAGCGTGTTGCTCTTTGGGTTTGGTTTTTGTTTTTGTGGTGATTGTGGGTCTATTGTGGTGGTTTGCATCTTAACGTTGTGGTTTTGTGTCTTTTTGTCGTGTTTTTGTATATTTTGTTGTGGTTTCGCATGTTTTGAGGTTGATTTCACATCTTTGTGATGTTTTTGTGGGGATTTATTTGTAATTTGCCGTTTTTGTAGCAATTCAGCATCTTTGATTTCAGACAACGCTGCGCTGGTTCTGGGTCTTAACTGGGTTGGTTTTGTGTCTTTTTGTTGTGGTTTTACGTCTTTTTGTTGCGGCTTTACGTCTTTTTGTTGTGATTTTACGTCTTTTTGTTGTGGTTTTACGTNAAGTAACACTAGTTTTTGGAGGGTTTTTAAAGAGGACGTTTAGAACGAAGCGATTTTGTTGAAGCGTCACAACCCTGAGCTCACATCTGCTTCTTTAGTGAAGACACATCGACCACCAGAAAGCTGAAGGCCTTCGTGCTTCTGGTCGGTGGTGTCGTTTGGACTTCTGGACTCGGACTGTTAATCAAACCTCATTCAGACCCACACTGAATCAGCTGTTGTTCTACTTTATCCTGACTGTGGACTAACGAGACTTTGCTGTACCTAGAAGCCTCATGGTGGTTTTGTTTCCAGAACCGAAGGAGTCGGCAGAAACCGTGTCAGAAGATCAGAGTCAAAACATGTTCAGAGAGACAAAAACACGACGCCAGCGTCGCCCACGTTTAAGAGATGGACGCTAGTTGGTATTTATGTGTTTGATTTCTGGACGGGAGTGACGTCAGGGTGTCTGGATCTAGCTGAACCTGTTTAAGTTCTAGTTTGGAGCTTCAGAGGGCAGAGCAGCAGGTTACTGGGCCACCAGTGGACCGATTATATACAGGGTTCTGAAAATCTCTTTTCATTCTCTCTTCCAGGCGTTTCTCCTGTTTGGAGTTCACATCTGGAGGAGACTCGTCGTTGAGCACCTGGGCTTTCTTTGGGGATTTGCTTCTATATTTACCTGATCGGAGGCTTTCTTGGCACCTCCGGCCGGACGAGGGCAGAACCAGAACACGCTGCAGGGATTACGGATCCATCTGGACGCTGACCCTCAGGACCTCCAGGACAGGTAGACGCTCCCTCCTCTGGCTGGAACAGCAGCCAATCCAGCGTCTGCACCTCCATTCATGCTGATTCTGTACACAGAGAGCGACCAGTGACTCCAACCGGTGGAGCAACAGCGTCCGAGCCGCACTTTGTGCCTTTTTAAGGGCATGAAAGACACAAAACTGCAAAGAATTTCTTTTTCAGTGTCACTGTTTATCTCATTCACTTCTCAGTGAGGTTTCTAAGAGTCACGAGGTCTGACTAAGTGAATGTCAACAGAGAATGTAAAATAGTGGGAAAAACCAGCATTGCATTACAGCAAACACCTTCAGAGGGACTTTTATGTGTTGCAGCTGATTTAAGGTCGACGCTGAGCTCCGAGTGCAGCATAAACAGCCCACTGAAGTATGGATGAGAGCACGACGCCGCATGAATAAATCAAACTAAAACGCTTGTTCGGCGTGTTGACAGTGAAAACAGCACATTAAGAGGCCGACATGACACCGAGCGGCTGATTCAAGTCGGCGCCGAGTCAACGAGTCCAAACAGCACAAACACGACAACAAGCAAACGTCTTCGCCGACGACTCCGTCCTCGTCGCCTCCGACCGCCGACGCTGAACTCGAGCTTCACTGAACAGATCCGTGTGAGGCGGTCTCTGAACAGCTGAAGGAGTGCAGCTCAGGTACGTTCAGCAAACTGCGCTCACGCCGCCCAGCTGGCCTTCAACATGGCCGACGTTCACTGTTTTTGTTCCGCTTTCTTTTTTACAGCCAGAAAACTCTGGTCCTGTGGTTTTTACCAGTTACCATGTTTAATCTGTGGCAGAGTTTCAGAGTAAAATAATCGTAAAGATCTCCAAAGTAATGATATTTTCAGCACATTTAAACACAGTGCACACAAACACAGCACAACCAACAGTTTATTCATTCAGATATTTTACATGGACGTTATTTACAGATTTTTTTTCTTTTTTTTTTTTTTAAAGTCGGCACCTAAATTAATGTTTTTTTTTAATGATTTTACTTGATATTTTCTGTATTTTTTTTCCCAGACTCATCCTGTTTCTTCTTGTTTTTACCATCAACTTCTGAATGAATGCTGTCGTTCTGTCTTTCTAAATCTGTTGAATACAAAAAATAAACTATGTGAAAGCAATTACACATGTACAAGCTGTCAAATAATTATGTTTCAGGCTGATTTAATTACAGTGAGTGTAAATATAAGTATTTTACGGTCACACGCTGTAAAAGAACGAGTCGATGTGTGTAAAGACGATCCAGGTTTTTCCGGGGTTTTTTTTCTTCAAACGTGGCCGGTTCGTTTTTTTTCTAAATTAATACTTTTTTTGTGATTTCACCAGTTACCTGACTGAGTCACGAACAGGAAGTTGTTTACGACACGGTAACACGCCGCTCATAACAAGACCTCCATTCAAAACATGCTGTTTTAAGAAGTAGCGACACATTAGCAGCGACGTGTTTCTGTTTTTATCGAGCTGTTCTTAGTCTCGTGAATAGACAGTCGTGAGCTGTTTTACTTTCTCTTTATCCGTTTAAACAAACACAGGGTCGGTGTCACTCACCACGATCCTGCTGCCGAAGACACCACCGCGGCTAACATTAGCTTAGCTCAGGTAGCTAACGTGAGAACAGAGGCGACTGTTCCAGATTTTTTTCCCACTTTGCACCAGTTGGTTATTTAACGATAGACGCCAAGAGCTGAAATGTGCACATTTATGTTACAATACAGACAGTAATGACGCTGTAGTTAGTTACAGAAAAAAAATCTAAAAAACACATTAATTCAAATTCGACGTACACTAATGCTAACGATCTGAAAAATCATGAAATTTTCAGCTGATTAAAAACCAGCGAGTGTAAATATAGTGAAGCTTTATGGCTGCTCATTGTAAAACAATAATGTGTTATTTGTAAAGATTCACATTTTTACATTATTTGGCCTGTTCTTCTAAATTAATGCGATTTGTGACTTCAATAGATATCTTGCTACGAAACGTTTGAAACGTACGCTTTAAAAACAGCAGAACAACGTGATGTTTAGCAGCGGGCAGCGGCGCAAACGTTCGTACCCTGCAGCCTCGTGGTCGTGGAAACCGTCCCTGGAGCTTCACACAGTCGAGCGTCCAAAAGCCTCCGACTGACTCGGCTGCTTTCCATCGTGTCTCAGCTCGTCTCGGCGCTGCAGCAGCCGAGTCAAAGGTCCCGTCAGCTCGAACGCCCACCGCGGCGGTTTGGCCGGACCGTCCAGCGCTCCACGCCCACCATGACTCGGCAGGACGCTGTGTACACAACAGCTCAGAGTTTAGTCGCTGCTCTCCATCATCACGGTAATCACCATCATCATCATCATCATCATCAGTGTCGCGTGTGTGAGTGCGTTCATCCTCTCAGCTCTGCAGCACTTCTCAGAAACAGCTCCGAGGTTGAGAAACCAGCTGACCGCAGCACCAATTTAGGCCAAACCGCCGTATGCGATCTGTCCAAACATGACAAGGAACAGGGGAAATTATGTGAGAAGCAGCGAGGGTGGGGAAGGGAAAGACAAACTGCAGTTAGGAAACCATGAGGAGAATGATGTGGTTTCACAGCTGGACACTCAGACTGTGTGAGAAACACAAAAACGGCTGCTTTCCCTGGCTGAATAAGGAAGCTCGCAAGGAAAAGGCCAGTAACAATCCACCAG